CTGTAACGGAATGTCTTGAATTGTTTTTGTTTTTGAAGGGGTATTGGTCAGTGATTAAGGTGATGATGGAGGATGAAATGTTTTCGTAGATGTTAGGGAAGACGGAACAGAGGATGAAGGGTCCGGCAACCTCCAACGTTCTTGGAGTTTTACCCCACTTAGCTTCTAAATCTTTTAGTTGCCTTGGTTTTTCAATCTTTTCCAGCCTGGACTCGTTTTTCTTTTGTATCTCTGACGCGGTTGTTGCATACAGCGCCGGACATCGCCCTTAGAGCTAGTAGAGAGAATGGGACTGTAGGTGTTGGTATCCCTTGAATCATGCTAGGACTGAGGCCCTGCTATTCGGCTCTTCCCTCTACCCCTACCAACAACACGCCATTCCCCTTCTTACTTCCCCGCACTTGCGGAAGGCGTCGTTTTTTTTTTTTTTTTTTTGAGAGATTGTCCTCACAGTGTGTCGCTGGTAGGCCCATTACAGGCGCCGCGGAACTAACAGTATCGGCCAGAGGGGGATTTTGGTCACCTGCGGCCGGAAGTCCAGAGTTTCTTCTTCCCTGGACAGGAAGAGGAAAGGTGACCAGCATAAGAGCGATTCCCCGGTTGTCATATTCTTCGGTGCCTCACTTGTATTCGGCGCATTCTTTCTTCTTTGTCTTTAATTCTTGTCTTCATCACTTTTTTGCTCCTTACTATTTCCTTCGTCGGATTTTATTTTTTTGGATGACTCCACCCGCGAGCTCCATCTTGTTTTTCTTTTATCTGGTGGCTCTGCCTTAGCAACAGACACAAAAAGGTCCTTTTTCAGCTCCGGCCGACTTTTGTCGGCCATATTGCTAATGTTCTTCAAGAATAAAACACTAAGCGGGAAATGTCCTTGAAAATAAATTTGAAAGTGTATTGTGGTTGGGAGAACGGAAAGAAAACACCAACAAAAATAAGACTTAAGTCAAAAAAGAATTTCTTCTACAAAGAGAAATTAGAAAGATAAACAAACAGTACAAAAATAAAGAAGAGAAAAAAATATCAATACAAAATAAAAGTATATATTACAATAAAGAAAAAACTGCTTCACTTGAAAAAAAAAACAAATAAAGTTAAATAAATTTGCTAATTTACAATAAATTAAAGAAAAAAATGATTTAAACTAAAACTTCACCCAACAACAAAAAACTAAAAATAAAGTTCGCCGAACGAAAAATAAAGTCCGGCGAAAGTCGAAAAACAAAAATTAAAGTTTGCCAAAAATAAAGTTCGGCGAATAAACAAAAAAAAAAAATATTCAAAATAAATTAATAAAAACAGGTTCTTTTTTCAATAAGGTTTCTTAATTTTTTTTAAGAAATAAAGGAGATAATAAATAAACGTAAAACTATAAATTAAACGCAAATGAGTTAAAACAAGAAAGTAATAATCTGCTATGATTTGGTTAGACTAGAAAGAAAATTAAAAACAAAGATGGCGGCGAAAGCCGACTTAAAAACTGGAAAATGACTGACAAAAAAAAAAAAAAAAATATCAAAAGATTAAATTCAAACAAAAAATTAATAAACACGTAAAATAAAATTAACGGACAGTTTTGGGCAAAAAATTCAGTTCTTTGCATTCGTTTTCAAAAACAATTGCAGATCAAACGTAAACAACTTGAAACTCCACCAGTCAGAAAATTGGTCAAATCTCATAAATAACGTGACTTCGAAAAAAAAAAAAAAAATAAATAATATATATATATATATATATATATATATATATATATATATATATATATATATATAATAATATATATATATATAATATATATTTATAGAAAATTGGTATTTATAGAAAAGGCAAAGAGAGGCAACCTTGCAGTAGTGGGTATGTGACTGTAGGCGAACCGCCAGATTAGGACCAATAATATTGCTGATCCTTCTTTGGATTTTATCAAGGTGCTCACGGTAAATAACAGGGTCACCGGACGATATGTGGCAGCAATATTCTAATCATGGATACAAAATTCTGGAGAAAAAAATTTGTCTCGCACGACACAGTGAAGCAACATTCTTAGTATCTGACCTAGCATTCTTTTCAGATCCTCACATATTTTCTGACACAGCTTAATTTTGAACTGTAATAAACGTTCCATTATCCTGTAATCCTTATTGTCGGCAGAACCAATGTACGGAAGATCAGTGGCAACAATTTGGATTTGTTTTAGCTAAAAGTGAAGAAAATTTAAGTTGTAGCTGTTACTTTTTAGCTAAATCAATATGGTGTGTATTTATATATATATATATATATATATATATATATATTTATAACATCCAAGCTGTGTATTTACAGATTTCTGTATAGGATTAGGGCACGAGTTAAACGATGCAAAAAAAAAAAAAAAAAAAAAAAAGGGCGGTGGGAATAACTAGAAGGAAAAAAAAATCTTCAGGATACCTGAAATAAAAATGGAGGATGGCAATAAAGAAATGATCTGGTGACAAGAAAATCTTTACATGTTAAGATATGCATTTTTGTTAGAGTTCATAGCCGTTTAATGACCAATTAAAAGAAAAACTGTCTATGGCGATTTAGAGATTGCAGCATATGTAGGTAAATTTAGCCTTTATTCAGCTTCGTAAACGTTCATTTCATTCTTGTAGTAACTTAACGGGATTAAATAGCACGTTAAGAGTGGCTAAATCAGAATAATATTTAGCATTCGGTAAAAGAATGCTTTCATTCACCGAAGGTGCTACTATGAACATATATATCATTAAAAATTTAGAGAAGTTGTGGATTTATTCTTAATAGAATCCTCTCAAATTTAAGGACGAATTTCTTATCCTTCCTTTAATAAGGAAAAAAAACTCGTTCGTAAATAGGAGCAGTTCCTGTTAATAAGGACACAAAACTTGTCTAAATTAGTAACAGAGACAGAGAGAGAGAAAAAAAAAAAAAACATGTGTATGTGAGCATACGTCTTGGAGCAGAGAAATACACACTGGTCAATTAACCTTTTTTTTTTTTGCTTATTTGTTTTTTTTAAAAGTCACATCACAGAATTTTATTTGAGTAAGCTTAGAAGTTTAGGTGGTGTTCAGCTTGAAGTTCACTAGGACATCGACTAAGCGGTTTCATTTGATAAAATCAAATCACTGTAGGGTATTTGGTAAATGTGCATTTGATACGGGAAACAAGTCATTTTTGTCAAGAATTTTAAGCAGAATAAAAGTTATGCTGAAGTGCGTTCGTTACAATCTTTGTAGTTTCCTGTCGAACAAGTTTATAAAAACATTGATAAAAGAATCAGGATAAATTTTATTCTTAAAAAAAAAAAAAAATTTGCTAAATACATTCTTATACATATTTAGAATCAAATATAGAATTTTCATTCAATATTATCGCCACAAGCAAAGAGAGGGGTTCCCTACATTAAAACAAATTGTGAATCAAATTCATGTCTGCAAGAAAAATATACAGTTTAAAATGGCACGGTATTTTTTTTTTCGTTACTTCCTTGGAAGAACAAAAGATAATAACCAAAATGAAGATATTGTTTCAACTAGAAAAGGCTTTACACTTATAAAGTTTTGAAAGAAAACGCAAATAAAAAATGATTGACATTTTCGAGAGACGTAAGCAATGATAGTTATTAGAATTGAAGGATAATTTTCTTTTAAAAATCAAAATCAACTATCCCGCAAATGGCCGAGATAACGACAATGCACAGAGGGAAGATATTCTTTGCCAGATTTTAAAGAAGATCATTAACGTTGTTCATTTTTTTTATCGACCAGTGGAAGATTGGAGGTTCCTAATAAATTAAAGGCCTGTCTTGGTTTAATGCCCCGGATACGTTCTGCTAGTCGAAGGTCTTTACGTGTAATAGTGGCCCTGTTAGCAAGCGCAGCTATTTGTTTGCAGTCTTTCAAGAGTTCGCGTATATAGCTGCGGGCTGCCTTTAAGATCTGTAACGAAATCTTCCGACTAAAAGAACCTCTTGGGAGTCGCTTCGCTATGCCAAAAACACGAACACGGGAACTTTGAAATTTCTTTGGTTTACTGAATTTACGAATTCTTCTACGAGTAGAGAAACTTGGTCGAAAACGAATGACATTTTTCTTTGCCTCTATATCTAATTGTTTCAAATTTGTGGGTGACATTATCTATTGCAAATAACAAAGCCGATCCTAGCAGGGAAATGCGCAAACGATCGCGTCAAAATAACAATTGCCACGTAGAAATTATCAAGCCTAGTTATATAAAAATTTAACACTTGCATAATAAATTGTGTGGGTGAGTCTATTAATAATCTCAGGTTTGTGTGCGCGTTTACGGAGACCAGTATTCTACAAACATTTTGGTCTTGCAAACTATCAATATTGAGTTCAAGCCTCACTACATACTTCCTAAATATTTTTTTTTATATATCTATCGTCTGCTGGAGCTAAAAATAGAGCGTGCCAATGTGTTTATGGGTTTATGTTACTGTCAGTCGTTGAAATTAGACTGTAATTTTTTCCTTAATATTCGAAACAAAAAACAGTTTGAAAAAAAAAAAAAAAAAAAAACAGCCAAATAAAAGATAAGTAAATTTGTACGGGAGGGAAAGTTTACCTTAACTTATTAATAATATCCACCGTCCGATTTTTAGGACGCTGGGCATTAAATGGGTTTATAGGTAGAAATACAGGATTTTTATAAACCTTACCAAGAATTTATTTTTATAATTAATACTGGTCTTTACGGAGGACATTAATATGTGAAGATCGTATTTTAGTCGTTGGAACATTTACTTTGCAATTGGATCGGAGAATGGTGCTCATTAAGTTAAATGTTTTGCCGTCATAAGCGAAATGTCTTTGTCTACATTTCAATATCTGTAGCCTTTGCTTGTCATATATTATCATCTGAATTTACCAAGATGCAACTTTATTCAAAAGTAAAAAAGGAAAGGGAAGAAAGATCGATGTTTTCACGAGCGTGCTATGCCTGGAACATCGGTGTCCAATATTCATTATTCAATTTTCTTATGGCAATTCGAAAACTAAATTCTTTGAAGACTGGCCTAAAAAGTGATAAAAGAGAGAGAGAGAGAGAGAGAGAGAGAGAGAGAGAGAGAGAGAGAGAGAGAGAACACTGGAAAGTTCTCGACCAAGTATTCAAAACAAATAAGGATGCAGAATTTGGAAAATGGTTGAACCTACAACATTTCAGCACCCCTCCTACAATGTTATGCTTTATACTCTTTTTATTTAATGAGCAATTGCAACTGCTACTTTTTTCTTCCAAATCATATCATGACCAATCGGACATGCTCTAGTTACTATTAGGTTGTTACACATGAAATGACGTATTCTTTGGTTGGTTGTTGATCCGGTCGTCTAACGAAGCCTAACGAAGTTTAACGAAGTCTAACGAAGCCTAACGAAGTTTAACGAAGTAACCTCCTTAGTATATCAAAAATCTTAACTTATTCTTGACTCTTTTTCTTTCTAGATAATTTTCCTTTCAATATATTGTTACTCATAATCCCAATAAAAATGATTACAATACAACAATGTAATCTCACACATATGAATACAAACTGGGAAAAAGAACCATTTTTGCATTGAATCATTACATGCGATGAGAAATAGATACTCTTTGACAACAGTAAGAGAGTAAGCCAGTGGTTAGATGCTAGTGAATCAAAACAATGCCCAAAACCTCCACTGTGACCTAAAAAAATTAATGGTTATGTATGGTGGTCTATTCATTCTTGCCTCAAGGGGAAACAATAACAGCAACCTCGTATGGTGGTGTGTATGCACGAAAAATTGAAAAAGAAACATCCTAGACGTGTGAATAGCGATGGCCAATTTTGCTGAACGACATCACACGGGTACAGGCTTCTCAAGCAACTGTCGAAAAGCTGCATAGCCTGAATTATGATATTTTGCCTCATGCTCTATATTCACCTGATATCTCTCCTGCTGATTATCACTTATTTAAGCATTTTGAGCTTTTCATATGCAATAAAACATTCTCCAATAAGGAAGAATTTAGAGGTACATTGGAAAACAGTCAGTGAAATTAGTTATTTAATAGAAGCGATTTATTCATTTCCTATAAGTGCATCATGTCATGTGTGACAACTTAATATTTGTATTAGGCTGTAGTTGATAAAAGCTCATCGAGTTCCCTGTAAGATTTGAGTCCTGTCACTGAATCAGGTAGTGAAAAAATATATATTGACTGAACGAGAAATCAAAACGTCAATAAAAGAAAGTGACGTATTTCGAAAATTCTTTTAGAACGACACAAGACTTGTCATGTATAGGAAAGAAAATAGTATGGATCCGTTAAAAAGTTATTTTCAACATTTCTGGGAGATAAGGAACCGCCTGCATAATACAAAATATAACAATATTAAAAATTAAAATTATATTAAAAATGCTGCTGCTGTTGTTGCAGTAGTAGTAGTAGTAGTAGTAGTAGTAGTAATCTTCTAAATCTATCATGGTACAGTTGTGTATATGTCTTGAGTACTTGGGAAGATACTGCCTAACAAGTTGCAACAGCCTCACAGCATTTTTCGAAATATGCTTGCTGTACACAATAAAGCAGATTTTTGTAGCATTCACAATGTGTATTTTACACCAAATTCGTCGGCATATATTTTAATGAGACGGTGCCGAGTGCCCCAGTTACTACTGGGTTGACGTTAACATTTTTCTCCCTCATTTTCCACAATCTAGCAATCTCAACCTTAAGTTCAGAATAATTGCTAATCTTTTCTAAATTGATTTGCTGATATAATGTAGTCAATGGATATGGCCATATAAATTAATATGAATTCTTTTTCAGTTGTGTTGAGGATTACTGTATCTTATCTTCGGTGTCCAATAAAGTCATAGTTCCAGGTCATCTTTAGCTTGCTTTCTCCTTCCAGTACTCTCAGTGGTACGGGCGCTCGTACCATTTCTCGGACACGTTGTAACTATATTTCTTTGCACAAGATCCAGTATAAGTTATGGCAAACTCTGTCATATCGTTTTTTGTCCTCTCACGAAACTAGCATTTTACAGCTACTAATGTGACATGTGTGACATTCACTTGTTTCTTTCCACAAAGCCCACAAATGTGAGTCATCTGTAGTTTGGTACACGTTGCTGGCTATGACTTTCGTACGTAAAGCTTGTTCATGTGCAACGAGGATTACACTTTCAGTCCTTCTTTTCTGGTTACCGTGCTTGAAATATTCGTGTGTGGCTTTACAGTCTTTCGGTCTTTCCGTTGCTCTTTCAAATTGTCCATGCAACCGTATACATTTATCCGACACCTTTGACGCCTTGAAACATAGAAATAGATATCAACGCAATAACAAATAACTTGAAAAATACCCCTCTTTATGATCACATCGTTAACATATTCATTATTCTTGAGAACAGTAATACTATTGTCTGCTATACCGAACATCTGGAGTGTTTCCGAAATTCATGAATGAAGTACCATATCATAGGCCTTTTGTAAATCAATCCTAGCCATACACAGTTTGATTTGATGTCTCTTACAATGACTCAGGATTATTTTGTCAATCACCGGATGATCCTTAATACCTTGTGAGTCCTTGCCGCACCCTATATTTGCACAAGATAACATTTTTATGGTGGGAGTAATATGTTTTCTCCGCGAAGATTCCTGTCAGGACTTTTCAAATTAAAATGAAGCATTACTTTCTTTTGTCCTTCATTGTAAGTATCATTCTACCGGTCACCATCCATTCAAGAATAGAGCCACGAGATACACATTTATCAAGGTGTCCTGCTGTTCTGCCATGTAAAGCAATAAATCTCTTCAACGCAAATTCCTGTACATCCCATCAGGCCCAGGTGATTTCCAAGTTGGGAGTTTCTTCACTTGTGCGGACACATTTTCAACACGTATGGGGATAGCTTGGGAATTTTCAGCAGTTCATGCTTAACAGATTAAATCTATTCAGCGTTCCTATTGTGGGTGACAATCTTGTCCCAGATTCCGTTCCAAAAAAGCCTGAGCTTCCGCAGCATCAAGACTTTCGTTCTCACCAGTGTCACTCTCAAGACTCCTGAAGAATTGTCGCATGTTGTGTTCATTTCTGTATATCTCTGGACCTTCCGTGTTTTTTTGGCATAATTCTCTGTTTCAACGGCTCCATACTTGTTCTGAGCCCATTTACCCATATCTTGTATTTCTGTTCCAACTCATTTCGCTCCCTTTGCTTACCATATACCCAGTTCCCTTTATACCGCTCTTCTATCTTACTCAGATGTTTTCTTAGCAGTACGATCCTCTTCTTATACCACAGCTATTTTTTCTTCTGCTTTCTCTTTATTTCCATTCTCTCTTCGACCACAAAACGCTGTAGCGCGTATCAGGTCCTTTGTCTCGGTGATATTTTTTGTCAGTATGAACAGGAGAATATCGTTTACCACCTGGGTAACATTGTTTCAATCATGCTTTCTCAGGTTCCTGGGAGTATGATCATCTGTACTATTCATTAATTCAAGCAACTGTTCAACAATACATTCTGACCTTCATTCAACTCAGGTACTTGGGTTTCTTCAGCTTCATGAACGATTGGGTCATTTTCATCGACAGGAGTTTCTACTGACCTCAGCTCATTCACTTCAGGTTGTACTTCATGTTATGGACCTTCTTCAACGATTTCGTTGCCAAGATCTTTGTCAGTTCTTGATTCATTAGCAACCTTTCTACTAATCCGTGCAATTTCAACATCATTTGTTCCGTATTCCCCTTACCTCGTTCATCAATCCAGTTTCAGAGAACCAGGAACTAAATTTGCTTTTTCGTGTCATTCAATTACAATCTCATATTTCGACAATTTTCCTCGCTTATGTTGCATACTTGATGTTTCTTGTTCAATAACAGGATAATGACAGGGTAGTGCCTGACCCGCTTCTCTCGCGCATTTAACTTCACACCTGCCAGACAAGGAAGCTTCAGCCTTATCAGTCCCATTTATGCTATTATTGATTATTTCACTATTATTTTATATCATTTCTATGAATGAGTTTGTTCGTTTTAGGTTTTCTCCTCCGTTTAGTGTTTTATCTCGTCCCACTTTCACTATGTGGTTTGGCAACCAAAACCAAGAGAGGTACACTTGCACTCATCAAGGGTGAGAGTTATCAATATTATTCGAAAAAAAAAAAAAATATTTATGCAAGCCGATTAATAAAGTGTTGCTAAGCCGTAAAAAAACAAAAAAAAAAAACAAATCAATCAACTTTCAGGATTTGGGCGTTCATGGCTCTCCACAAATCTCTAACTTTGCAACTCCAAGCAATATTTGTCTTTTTACTATCTCTTTCACTCATTTTTCGGCCATCCATTTACACAACCTCGTTAGCTAGTTTACTGATTCCCTCTTGTCTTCAATTTGTCCTCCGAGTATCAAATTTTCCAAGCTTTCTTTCCTCAATAAGTACCCAAGAAATTCCAAATGTCTCTTTCTGATCCTAAATGTTATGAGAGATGACATTAATATGTCTGTTATAGGCAAGAAATTAAACAAAGATGCTGTTTCAAGTATACAAAAGGTAGACACTTGAAATTTTCTCCTAATTTTTCTGTCTTTAATAATCCTTTCTTTTTTTCTGTCTTTCACATCCATTAAATATAGAAATGAAAATAGATTCAGTGGTTGGAGATTTAAATACAGAAATATGTCCTTTTCATTTAAAATTTTAAACCAATATTTGAATGATAAAGGCAAGTGATGATGGAGACAGAAAAAAAACAAAGAAATTTTGCACTGAAAAACTTTCATAGTATAATTACATAGTTATATCCCTTAATTAAATTCCATTACACTTGTAATTATATGAAGAACAAATAAGGCACAATTTTTATTGGATCATGGGATTGCTATGAAGTTATATTTGAAAAATAATGTAATGTGTGTATGCCTTTGTACACATAAAAATTCATGTTGACACCAAAATTTGAAAATATTTTGAATCTATGTAAATTTTCTAAAAGGCTCAATGAAAAATGTGCAGAAGCAGAATGATTATCACAGATAAAGTAGACATGCATAAAAACAAACAAGAGAACTAATAGGACAAGAGATATGCTCATCAACAGGATGTATA